CCCCCCCCAGCCCTGCCTCCCTCACCATGCCCTGCACAGCCCTCCCTAGCCCTGCCTCCCTCTGCACCCACCACACGGCCCGAGCAGCTGCAGGTGGAGGCACAGCAGGCAGCTCCTGGGTGAGGCTCTTGTTTGTGCACTTCCCCCTGTACTCAGTCCCCTTGATGCCCGCTGGCCCTGCAGCACCTGTGAGGCCCAGGGGGCCCTGCAGGCTCCTGTCCAGAGCTAGGTGTCAGCCTGTGCTGGCAGGCAGTGATGAGCAGGGCCCAGGGAGGAGCCGACTCGGCTCAGTTTGGAGCAGGGTGATGTTTGGGTTCCGTTGGATTCAGGGTTTCTAAATACATATGTTCTGCCTGTATCTCTGCAAGTGGCTTGAAAGTCCTCTTGTGCACTTACCAGCTTTGGTGATTTCTGTTTCTGGGTCTGGGTGTGATGTTAGCTGAAGTCCCAGAAAGTGACTTCTGTCTTCAGGGTCCACCAGAATCCCAGAATAAAGCTGCCACTTCTGAGATTCTCGTCAGGCATGGCCATCGCCCAGGGAATGACCATGTCCCAGGAAGTGGCCTTTCTGGACCCTGGGTCTGTAGCTTTCCCACCAGTCGAGGGTGGGATTCTTGCTCCAATTAGTCTCTTCCCTGGGTGATGCCCATGACATCATTCCAAGCACCCACGGAGTCCCGGCCCTGCGGGGAGATCTCCAGGCACCCACGGAGTGCCGGCCCTGCGGGGAGATCTCCAGGCACCCACGGAGTCCCGGCCCTGCGGGGAGATCTCCAGGCACCTGTGGAGTTGCAGCCCTGTTGGCAGATCCCCTCCTGTCCTGATCTGCTTCTTCAATTTCTCTTAGGGATCACAAGGGGGCTCCCAAGCAAACCCAAAGTGGATTGGGGCCATGGTGGCCAGGCATGTATCTGCCATTCTCTCTGGCACGAAGTGCTTCAGCAGGTGACCAGACTCTCCATCCACAGTGTAGCACGGGGGATCATTATAGTTGCTCACTGAACATCTGCTGGAGATGTGGGTATTTGTGATTATCAGAAGCTTGGCAGGAGCTCATCCCAACATCATGCTAAATCAGTAGGAAAGAACAATTGACTATTTGGTCTCTGTCTCTGTGGACAGTTGGGGCACTGTCACCCCAGGCCTGCCCACTAATGTCCCTCAGATCATCCTATGGCCTCCCAGCTCATGGTATTCTTACACTGTGCTGTTGTGCTCTATCCTCCGAGCACATTTCTGTCTCACCGATGGTGGTTGCTGTGGATGCTTCCCTTGGGTTCCCCCACCCCCACCACTTCTCCAATAGCAATCACTGTCACCATTCTTAATGGCAACTTCTGGATGGCATTTGGCACCAAGCCCTGCCCAGCAAATGCATAGGTGTAGCTCTCCTTATCTCACTGACAACTATTTTAAGAACAGATGACATGAATTTGCATCCTCCGAGTGATACCAAGGCACCCTCATTCAGCAGAATTTGTCTGTTCTGTTTGCCCTGGAGGGACTGAGGTTCTGTGAGGTCCAGTAACAGGTGCCTGACACTTGGCCATCCCCATGGACAGCATTCAGGGTGTCCTGGAACTCAGTCTGAGGCAGCCTGGCAGGGTGGCCAGCATTTCTGAAACTCCAGGTGCCAGCAGATCTGTCTGTCCACGTCACATCCACCTTCTGTGGGGCTGCGAAAGCTGGACCTGATTCCTGCATATTCTGTCAGCCAGCCACTCTCTGGAGCCTCTTTTGCAGTAAACTCCAAGACAAGAAAGTCCTGAAACCAGGCTGCTAGGACAGGGCTGTCCTGATGGGCAGCTGCTCAGAGCACAGTGTCCGTGTCTGCACATGCCCCCAAGCTCAGGAAACAGACTCCAGGGGTCCTTCTTGCTCTGTGCAGTCAACTAGGTAGCCCCTGAGTGCCCAGGTGACAGCAGGTCTCCAAGAATACTGTTTTTTTAAATACTTATTTTATTTATTTATTTTTATGTGGTGCTGAGGATAGAACCCAGCACCTCACACTTGCTGGGCGAGTGCTCTACCGCTGAGCCACAACCCCAGCCCCAAATACTGTTATTTTGAGGGATCAGTGAGCAGAAAGTCAAAGCAAGGCAGAGGTGGAAAACTGCTGAGTTGCTGCAGGCCCAGCTCAGCTCCGGCAAGGTTCCAGGGAACAAGGGATGAGAGTGGAAGTAACTCAGAGCCAGGTTTCTGCCCCAGGATATGAGGGAGGATCTTCTGGCGAACAGGCACTGGGTGGGAGGGCTGTGCAAGAAGGGCTGGACTTGAGGCTCTCTGAGCAAGAGGACCAGCCTGCTGTGGGCCAGCTTGCAGTCTCAAGTCCAGGGCAGTCTAACTCAAGGAAGAGCCTGGTCATCTGCATCCTCCTCACTTGGTCCCTGCAGGCCAGCTCCTATTTTCTCTGGTGTCCCTTGCTGTGAACTCAGTGCGGAGAAGACAGCATCCTGTGAGCATGAGGGACACAGTGATTTTTGAGGCCAGCACTTTGCTTGCCTGGGACAATTCAGGTCACAACTGAGGGTTGCAGATCAGAAGAGAACAAAGCACTTGAAAAAATAATTTCCTCCCAAGTCAGCTCCCAACACCATCCAGGCTTTAAGTTAACAGCAAGCACCCAGGGTCGATGGCTTTGAGGGCAGCAGCTCTACAGAGAGAAGGTACCAGCTTCTCTAACAGGTGTTACTTTAGAATTGTAGAGCCAAGAGGAATAAGAATCTCCTTGCTCAGTAGTCACCTTACAGAGAAGAGACACAGGGTTGAGCAGGTGCCTTCCTGCACAGGTGAGCCCTCACAGGCGAGCCCTGCACAGGTGAACCTACACAGGTGCATCCCTGCACAGGTGAACCTACACAGGTGCATCCCTGCGAGTGAACCTACACAGGTGCGTCCCTGCACAGGTGAACCTACACAGGCGAGCCCTGGGCAGGTGAGCCCTCACAGGTGAGCCCTGCACAGGTGCATCCCTGCACAGGTGAACCTACACAGGCAAGCCCTGCACAGGTGAGCCCTGCACAGGTGAGCCCTCACAGGTGAACCTACACAGGCGAGCCCTGCACAGGTGAACCTACACAGGTGCATCCCTGCACAAGTGAGCCCTCACAGGTGAGCCCTGCACAGGTGAGCCCTCACAGGTGAACCTACACAGGCGAGCCCTGGGCAGGTGAGCAAACTCCACAGTTGATGGCTGTGGGGCCACAGTTAAGCTCCTGCCGATCCTGCGCCTGCCTGTGACTCCCGGGTTTTCATCATACTAGCAGGAACTCAGTCAGTGCCTTGCAGGTCTTATTACGTGCTGATGATTTGTACTGAATCAGTGGTGTTTGGAGCTTAAATATGTTGAATTCCCACTTTTAATCATTCTTCACACTTTTTGAGTTTTCTCATCAATGGGGGAGGAACTAGGATTCCTTCCAAGAGACGAGATGGATTCCAGCATTTCTGGTCCAGTCAGTACTTCATATCTAGACTTCCTGTCAGATAATCTCTCATCCTGCTTCTCCATGGACCTGTGGCTGTTGGGGACTTGCAGTTGGGACTTCCTGCTGTGGTCAGTCTGTGGAGTATGGCATGGCTGTGGGGAAAAAGGCTCCGTGTGAACCAGAGGGGGTGGTGGGAGACGTGAAAGGGGGGACAGGAGGACGTCAACACATGCAGTGTGCCCTGTGTCGAGCTGTGGAGGGACAGGTGGCTCCTGTCTGGGCTCCTCGGGACACAGGGCAGGCCCCTTTCCCAGGACCAGTGCTCTGAGCAGGTCCTGCGGTGGGTCTGAGGGTCATCTCTGCAGGTTCCAGGATGGAATGTGTGGGACTGTCCTCTCCACTGTGCAGGGGTCAGCACCAGGGATACTCCCTGGGAAAGGGGAGAGTCAGATCCCGGCAGCCATGGGGCAGCCCGAGCAGAGAGGGCACAGAGACCTCCACACAACCCCTGTGGAGGGGACCCACCTCAGCTGCCACAGACGCTGCCCAGCGGGTGACMTGAAGGGCCCTGCAGCAGGGCTGGGCTGTAGTGAGGGAGCGGCCCTGCAGCTAGAATTCCTCCGGGCCCTCATCAAGGCCTCTGCAGAGGGACCTGGTGGTTCAGATGGGGCAGGAGTGACGGACAGCAGAGGATGCACACCACCACCCCTGTAGCTGGAGTGTCAGAGTCCACATGGGGTGGCCGGTCCTGGAGGCCAGGGCATGCTGGGAGCTGGTCCTGGGGGCCAGGGAGTGCTGGGGGACGGTCCTAGGGGTGACAGTGGGTGGGACAGTGGTCATCCCTCAAGGGCCAGCCCACTCGGGTGAGGGCGCCCAGAGCCACATGGGAGCCTGGTGGAATAAAGGCTTCTCGTACTCTGGCCTCCACTGCTGAGTGCACTGAGGATGACCCCCGCCGACCTGGGCAGTGCCAGGCACAGCAGGCCTCACTCCTGGAAGCCACAGAGTGCAGTCTGCTGTCAGAGGCTGGGGGCACTGGCCATGCTGTTGGACAGGAGTGTGTCTTGGTGCCCTATCATGCAGCAAGCGAACATGCCTCATAGTAACGAATTGCATTTTTAAAATGCCAGAAGAATGAATTTAAGATGTTGTCACCATACAGAAGGAAGTCTCTGAGGCAATGTATGTGCCGATTAGCCTGGTTTGAACCCTCAATGTGCAGGGTTCGACAACACTTTCATCCCATAAACATACTCACTACTTGCCAATTAAAAATGAAATAAAACTTGAAAATTACACAGTACAACGTTATCCAAATGCTTTCTACTGCATTCCTGATGGTTTCTCCAAAGCTAATCGGAGTGGACACAGCAGTGTCTAACTCGTGGCCTCCCTGCCACCTCCTGGGGCTGGCCCCCTGACTCTCTGCCTCTCCTTGCAGCCTGCCCTGGTGTCTGGGACAACATCACCTGCTGGCGCCCTGCAGAGGTGGGGGAGACGGTCACCGTGCCCTGTCCCCAGGTGTTCAGCCATTTCTACAGCAAACCAGGTGGGCTGTGTGTGCTCCTTCCCGTGCTCCCCACAGTGTTTGTGTCTGAGAACTGGTGTCTCCACTTCCTTTGGTGACTTCTGGCTCCTCCTGCTGCCAGGGAACAACAAGACACAGAGGTCATCCACCCCACCTACGTGGGCAGCAGGGCAGGTGGCAGGGAGGGGCCAGGCCTGGCAGACACAGGAGAGCCACAGCCTGGGGACTGTGCAGGGGTGGGAGCCAGGGGTGGAGAGGAAAGAGGCTCAGTGGGTCCCTGTGAGCCTGCGGGCTGGGTTCCCACAGTCCCCAGAGAGCATCTTGGTCCAGAGGGGCGGAGACAGCCCTGTGGAGCTGTGATTCTGGCAGGAGGGGACATCTGAAGGCTCAGCCCCGGGCCCCACTGTGCTGACCAGTCTGACATCCCTGAGGTCTGAGTTCTCTGCAGAGCCTTGGAAGCTGCCCTGGGCCCTGTCCTGGGGCTTGCTGTGCACCTGGAGATGCTGCCCAGTGGGTGCTTAGAGGAGCGCTTGCCTTGTTTTCATAAGTGATCAGATCTTCGTAACCTGGAGAAACCCACCTGGAAAGCCAGCGTGGAAGACGCACCTGCAGACAGGGAGGTGGGGGATTGCTCTGATCTGGCAGGTGCTGGGGCTAAACCTGGAGAAGAGAGTGTTGGGCGTSGTTGGAGGAGGAGAGCGAGCAGGAAGGAGCCTGCTGCCTCACAGGCAGCCCTCGGGCTGAGCTCGCCCGGCATGGCCCCTCCAATTCAGGACCTGAACAGTCTAGATAATCTGGCCTTTTAAACTTTCCATCCATCCAGTTACTTCTCTACTGAATGTTGTCCTGGAAATCCAAGTCCATGCACAGAGCCAGCAAGCAGTCGAGGCCCAGCCAGCCCCTGGGCCCAGGGAGGCCCTGAGAGAGACCTCGGGAGGCCCAGCAGGTCCCAGAGGCCACACTCTCTCAAACCTACAGTCGGGCCAGGCAGGCTGGGCCGCTCTGCCACCCGCCTGGCAGGAGCTGCTCGGCAGGTGGCACCAAGAAGGAGGGACTTGCCTGTGGCTGTGTCCGACTCCTCTCGGCCACTGAGCAGGTGGATGCAGCAGTCAGGGCTCCTGAAGCACTGAGCCTGTCTCCCCTCAGTGTCGTCTGACCTCTGGGACCTGGCCTTCCCACCTGCCCCCAGGTTCCCTGGAAACGAATGAGGCAAGACCCGAAGGCCCTGGGCCCTGGGCTCCGTCAGCCCAGGAGGGCAGCAGCCCTACAGAGTGGGGGTGCACATGGCTGAGCACCGGCTCTGCCCAAGGACTGGGGGTGCTCAGTTTTCCCACCCCACCCTGGCAGGGGCCACCCACTCTTCTGTGTGGGCTTCTCCAAGGTCACCAGCTTGTCATCAGGGAACACTGCAATTCTGGGCCRAGAACCAGTGGTGGACTGTCCGGGTGGAGAGGTGGGATTTTACCATCACAGCTGCCTTTGTCCTTGCAGTTTACCCACCTCCATCCAGCCGCGGCCATGTGGAGCCCCAGCACTCAATTCTTGGCAGTGCAGATTGGGGGCAGGCGAGGAGCAGGGGGGACCAGGAGCCAGGCAGGACAGGCAAGACCTGGCRGTGGGCTCCAGAGTGACCGGGCCTGGCTATAACTGCCTCTTAAGGTGGCAGGACATGGAATCTGCCAAGATTTTCATTCTGCTCCAAGGTGGCAGYACTTGGAGCAATTGCAATGTTACTTCTGTTTTTCCCACTTTATGACCTGAGTGTCCCCTCGCATCTCTTGGGCCCCGCCTACTCTAGGCAGGTTGTGAAAGGCGGCCTCCGTGGAGTCTGCTGACTAGAGAAGCACACAGGGACGTCTTTGTGGACCTGTGGTAAAACGTCTGAACTTCACTTTCCAGGAAACATAAGCAAAAACTGCACGAGTGACGGGTGGTCGGAGGCATTTCCTGACTTCATCGAGGCCTGCGGCTACAGTGACCCCGAGGACGAGGGCCAGGTAGGGCCTCCCCCAGCCGCACAGAGCGGCCCCTGTCCAGTCCYGGCCATGGCACCTGGCGGGCAGGAGGGTGGGCCTGGCGGGTGGGCTCAGCTCTCCTCCACCTGGACCAGCACAGCTCCTCCTGTGTCCCCTCACCATCCTGGGTCTGGTCTGCCGCCCGCAGCTTAGCCCCAAGCCTGCCAGGTGTGACCAGACCAGCCCTTCCCCAGCCCCAGGCTGCCTCCGACCTTGGCTGGTTCATCTTGGTCTCGCTGGGCCTGGGCCGGGTGGCAGTGACCCTCCGGTTGGTGGTGCGCGTTCGTGGCTGCGTTTCCAAGGGGGCCTGGGGCACTGTGTTCCAGAGTAGCTGACGACATTCTTGTGTGGAGTGAGTCCACCCCACCCCAACATCTGCCCAGCCCAATTGTGCCCAGGCCCACCGCTGTGGCTCACTTCACCCCCAGGCCACTCGCTGTCCCTGCCCTCAGCCTCTGTCCCTTCCTGGCTGCCCCGGTGGGTGAGCACCTGGTAAACCTGCAGGCCCCTATTCAGACCACCAGCCTGCACAGAGAGGTGCTGGCCTGAGAACTGCAGGGGGCAGGCTGCTGGCCCTCCCTCGTGGGGGCCTCTCCAAGGCCCGGCAGGGCTCCTTCCCCACCTCCCGGCTCCTGGGGCTCTCCCTTCTTCTTCTCTAGGGCTTCAGTTCAAAGCCAGTTCTCTTCCCACTGAAGAAAGGAAGTCTCTCTGGGTCAGCACTGTCCTCAGGGTTGGGAGACCCACCTGCCTGAGGGGTGGAGGGGGGGTGGGTGAGCTCAAGGACCACTGTGGCCTCTCTGGGTCTTAGAGGAAAAGCCGGGGTCAGAGAAGGCACAGAGAACTCTGTGCTGCACACCCTCAGGGGGCCCTGCCAGAGACCGGAGGCCAGGCTCCCTAGTGCCCGCACTGGCTTTCCTGTAGGACTGGGTCACCCCRGCCCTGCCCTCTGTGCTGTGTGGGTTGACATCCCCACCGGGGCTGGACGCTCCTGCTAGTCGTCCTACTGCGTGGGTCCAGGGTCGGTGGAGGAAGAGCCCACTGTGTGTCCTGGGTTCCTCACTCAGAGGGAGGCAGCACTTGGAGCAACTGAAATTTTACTTCTGTTTTTCCCACTTTATGACCTGAGTGTCCACTCGCATCTCTTGGGCCCAGGAGCCTGGGCTACCCCAGCTCAGCCCCTGCCAGTCATGGCTGGACCTGGGCTGTGTCCTGTGCTCCAGGGAAGACAGGAAGGAGATCCAGGGGAGGGAGGGAAAGGGTTCCTTTGCCTGCCCCTCTGGTCCTGTGAGGGCCCTGCTCCGTGATGCTAATCACCACCATTAGCTTTTCTGCATTGTCCCCAGAGCCTGTGGCCTCTGGTGGCACTGGCCTCTCAGATGTAGAGAGCTGTCGAGTGTCCGGGGCCATCGTATGTTCTGAACTCAGTGACGACAGGCACACTGGAGTTAATGTCACTGACTCCCCGCCTCGGCCAGGTCCCAGGGCCAGGTCCCAGGGCTAGGGTGCAGCCAGCACCTGCAGTGCCACCCCTAGGTGCACCAGTGTTGGTTCCTTTTGTGCTTCTGGACCCCATATTCGCTGCCCTGGTCCCGCACAGGAGGCCGAGCGTGAGCCTCTGTGTGTGCTCCTGGGAGGAGCAGACACCAGAGCCAGGCCTCGGGCCTCAGYCCCTCACCTCAGCAGCTGATGGACTCACTGCAGTGGTCCCAACAGAGAACCCAGCTCAGAGCCAGAGTGGCCCTGCACGTGCTGCCTGTGAGTTCACAACATCTCCACGGGGGTTAGAGTGGACTCAGGGTCTCTCCAGGAGTCCACTCATAGGCTCTGAGAAYAAGGCTTCCACCCCAGCCAAGGGGCTGTTCTGTGGAGAGAAGGCTCTTTGCTGAGGCCCTGAATTCTGACCCAGAGCAGGGGCAATGGCTATGGAGTGGGGTGACTTTGGCAGTGACCTTCCTACCTGGGTCCAAACCCTGAGATTCAGCCAGATGTCGGGGCTGCAGACCAGGAGTGACCAGGAGTCCCAGGGTTTCTGAAGGCAGAGGGGYGGTGGATCACCTGCCATGCACAGCCCCAAAACTGAGCCTCACCACGCAGCTACCCCTCGCGGCTGAGCTCTGAGTACAGCAGGACACTTGCTGGGGCCAAGCACTGTCCTGAGGCCTTACCAGCAATGTCCATCCAGAACTGGGCGCAGGTCCCAGGGGTCATGGCCCAAGCCTCAGGGATGCACTCCATAGGGCACGAAGGTGCCCTGGGAGCCTCCCGAGCTCGTCCCCAGGTCATGAAGAATGACCAGGGAGGGCACCCGCCGTGGTAGTCACAGCTCAAGGCAAGACAGGCCCTGGTTTCCTGACCCTCTGGGTGGCACCAGGGGTCATTTCTGGGGACACCCCTCCCTGTCCTTTGGTCCTGCTCATAGGGCTCGAAGCTGAAGCCGCCTGCATGTGGCCCGGCGTCTGCTCCCGTGCGTCTGTCTAGTTGAGGAGCTCGCTCTCCACTAATACTTCAGAGACTCTGCAAGTGCCCTAAATGCCCGTTTCCTGGTAAGGGATTAGAGAGTCAAAACACTTCAATATGAGAAGGCAATAAAGATGACGGCCCAAGACCAGCGAGGCGTCCTCCCTGGGTGCAGTTGGTGCTCTTTGAATACTTTGGATACTTGGAGTATTAGGGGATAACAATGGCTCAGACCCGGAGCGCAAGGCCAGGGGGCCACACAGTGTGTGCCACCTGAGTCCGGTCCCCCGCAGGTGAGCACAAGGCAGCGTCCCCAGGTGGCCACCCCCTGGGTCCCCCAGCTCCTGCTCCTCTCTTCAGTCTTCCGCTCTCTTCCCAGATTGGTATTTTCCTTGGATTCCCACTCACACAGTCAAGATCAGCCGTCAGTGTGCGGTCATCACAGGTTTCAAAATAACTAAACTCAAGAGAAGATCAACCTCTGTAGAAACCACAGGCTTCACTGTGTGCCAAAGATCCAGAAAACCAAGTGGAGTCCCACCGGACGTCCCCACAGGAGCCAGGTGTGGGCCCAGGGCCTCTGGCACAAGAACCAACAGGAGCCTCCCCACCTGGGCCTCATCTGGCCAAGGGGACACAAGCAGAGTGTGCAGCCTGTTCCCTGGGCCTCAGCCGCCTCCGTCGGGTCTGAGGAGCTCTGGAGAGGCGCTGCTCGGGGGGCTCCAGGTCTGCACACGGGGAGAGCCCTGCTGGTGGTGTGCGGTAGGGCTGAGCCCTGCTCCCGACCCCGGGTCAGCAGCCCTCCTTTGTCTGGGAGGTTCCTCCGGGCACACACGAGAGGGGGTGCGGCAGCTGATCCTGAGGCCCCACTGGGCACTCCCGCTGCTTCCCCCCTCACGACCAGGCCACGCGGATGCAGCACGCCGGCCTGCCAGGGGTCTGCCCGCAGCCTCCGCCGTGCCTTGCCTGTGCAGTTCTGAAACAAAGACCACATCGGCTAAATTTAGCCACGCACTGTTTGGCACTTCAGGCCTCCATGTATCAAGTGGATGCATTTCTTCCAGATTATGCCATATTCCTAAAAATATGTGTGCCCTCTCCTCCCAGCTCCTGCCCGGGAGCTCTCCCTCCGGCGCCGACTTCACTCCCCCGAGGCTCTTGGTCACTGAGGCTCAGCTCAGCACTGATGCTGCCGGCACCCTGTGCAGGCACCCACCTGGAGCAGCCCTGGGGGCACACCATGGTCCCGGCTTGTCAGGAGGCACGCAGCAGAGGCCCTGTGAGCCACCTGCCAGGGCTCCGCTCCCCAGCTCATGCACACAGGCCAGGAGCCCTGAAGTGGCCAAGAAGCCCCAGGGGACTCACCCAGAGCCCTATGTGCTGCTGGTTCCCACAGCGATTCCAGCTTCCAGGGCCCCAGCAGCAGCATCTGTCTTTCTCCTCGAGGTGCAAGCCGTGTTCCAGGTGGCCAGTGGCAGGAGATCAAGGGGATCCCGGATGCTACACCAGCCAGGGACAAGAGGGGCATGGAGACCTGGGCCAGGGACCTGGGTGGGTGGGCAGAGTGGGACCCAGAGCTGCCCACAGGAGCCCTGAGACTGGCCTGTGTCATAAGCAGAAAGGTCCCAGGACCAGAAACACTAGGGGCCAGGTGGTGCTGCTGTTGAGTGGCCCTGTGCCTCTGGCGCTTAACAGTTGCACGCAGTGAGTGAGGCACCTCAAGGCCAGAGGACAGGGTGGCAGGGAAGCTAGGTAAACCGCAGACACCACATGCCAGGGACAGGCGAGGGTACAGCTGTAGGGTGACAGTCAGCCTGGAGGTGCAGGCAGCCATGGGCGCGGAGGGAAACTGGCCTGCAGGAGACAGGCCTGGGAGCTTCTGGGCTGGTGTGACCCTCGAGGGCAGTGTGGGTGAGGTCCTGCCTGGCTCTGCACGGACAGGGTGCGGCTGTGCTTGGCTGAGGCTGTGCTCCGGGTGCTGGCCCCTTGTGTGTGAGTGACCTCTCATAGAACAGCAGCAGCTGGCTCTGTGGCCAGCCCCTGGGACAGTGTGGAACAGCAGCCACCTCCCAGGACCCTCAGTGTGCAGTGGGCGCCATGATGGAGGGAGGAGGCTTGGCGGGAGCAGGCAGGGAGCCAGCCTGAGCGACAGCGGCTGCTCCTGGGCCGTCGGGGGCTCTCACTCAGCCTCAGCACAGGCTTCAGGGTCCCCAGAAGGAACGAGGACAGGGCAGAGACACATCCTGTCCTCTAGGGGCTGGGTGGTCTGCTGAGGCCCAGGACAGAGAAGAAGGAAGGGCCCTGAGGGGTCTCTCCCTGTGTCACGTCCTGGGATCTGGGACCAGAGGGCGTGGACAGGATGCCAGCAAGTGACAAGGACATGGGGAAACTGCGGGTGAAGGCAGAAACACCAGCCACTTTAACACCGTGTCCCCCTTTTAAAAGCCCTTCTGCTGTATTTTCTATATTTAAAAAAGTGAGCACATATTACTTTTGTATTTCAATAAAACAAAATTTTAAGATCT